CCCAAAGTCCTTTTGCTTCTCCTTCCTTATGCTCACTAAGAAGCTTGAAGGTGTCTCTCTCCTCAGTAAGCCTTCGAATTTCGGCTTCGGACCGACTTAGCTCCCCTCGAGATCGGAAAAACACTTCGTGACAGAGCGCAGAATCCTACAAAGGATAAAAAGGAGTTATACAAAAGAGAAAAATACAAGTATGAAAATTGATAAAGGGAAAGCAAGCTTATCCGATTTAGGGCCTGCTGAGCTTCGTTGAAAATACGAGGAATCCCTGCTTTGCCCGAGCTCTTCTTCAAAGCCTCTGAATCGCTTGGACCGGCATCATCTTCTATCCCAACAAAATAACCATGGAAAGGGTCTTCCTCTCCATGGGCCCCCTCCCCGTGATAAACCTCCACGGCTTGGGCGTCATGTATCATAGACTGGAAAAATGAAGGAAAAGAAGGGGAATCACTGATTTCTACTACCCCGATCATGTCTTTCGAGGCACCGCCTCCATCTCGGGGAAACTCAAGCTCAGTCCCCGCATCTTTGTCAATCGCCTCTTCAACGGGTTCTTTGCCTCAAAGTATAACGTCCTCGGTTCCCCTTTGCTCTGGAACTTGGGTCGAAGTATTCTCTTCGACCTTGCCAGACTTAGGAGAAACAGAATAGGTCCCCACTGATCTCGAAGTTTTACCAATATCGGTGCCACCCCGTGCACGGGCCACCAGCCCAGAGTCTTCTTCTTCTTCTTCTTCTTCTTCTTCTTCTTCTTCTTCCCTCAGACGCAGGACCGACTCCATAGTCAGTGGAATTGTAGTTCCCTTGGGTTTACGGACTGCCCTCTTCTTAGGTTTTTTACCCTCGGGGTCCGAAGTCCTTTTTCTCTTATTTTCCTTCAACGGCTTCGAGACAGGTGGTAAAACTTCTTCACCACCGGTCGGGGGCCTCATGACCGCATCTTTTCCAAGACCTGGGAAGGAAGAAGAAGATAAGTAAAACTCATGCTTCAAGAAAATATGTCATCTCGAATGACAAATGAATCAGTAAACCAAGATGAAGCTTACCATGAGTACGAGCTTCCCATCAACCCTTCGACAAATCGCGCCATGAGCGATCGGCAAATGTTGACGTCGAGACCAGGTTTTTGACCCAGTTCTCGAGGTGAGGAACCGCACCCAGCATCCAAGCAACGACTATATCGAGAAAGACACTAATAAGAAAGGGTGAAGAAGTAAGACAAACAGAAATTTAAAACGGGATCGTACTTACGTTTCATATTCCATTTCTCAGGAAATGGCATGCTCTCTGCCGGAATCAGGTCCGAGGTCTTCACTTGAACAAACTGGCCCATCCAGCCCTAATCCTTATCTTCATCTATGCTCTACGTGAACACCTTGGTGGCACGACGTTGAAGCTTTATCAGTCTGCCTCGGTAAAGTCGAGGACTGTACAATCTTATAAGGTGGACGAGGGTGAAGGGGAGCCCATCGATTTTACTCACAAAGAAACAAATTAAGATCACGATCCTCCAGAAAGAAGGATGAATTTGGACGAGAGTCACCTGATATTTCTTGCAAAAATCGATGATGACTGGATCGAGGGGACCCAGCATGAAAGGATAAGTATAAACACTCAGGTACCCTTTCACGTGAGTAGTGATCGATTCCTCTGGTGTCGGTATCACGACCTCTTTGTTTACCCAATTACAATCTTTCTTCACCATATCAAGGAAACTTACTGGTATCGAGCATATGTATCTCGATACTAGCTCGCATCGACCAACAACCGAAGAGGGTTTATCAACTTTAAAATCAGAATCAATAACACATCCCCCGGGAACGAGTTCTTCAAGGCGTGGTTCCACCACTAGTTTCTCACCGGCCGGCCGAGACGGGGAAGCAACCTCTCTTTGAGGAACAATTTTAGATATCTTGGCTATCTAAATTTTTAAAGAGCAAAGAAGACGAAAAATTGAAATATTTTGGTGGTTGGTGAAGAACAAGCAAAGAAATTTTCAGAACTTGAAAATAGGTAATTTTGCAGAACACGAAGAACTGTAAAAGTTTAGAATGAGAAGAGTTGAAAGTAAAAGTTTGAGATGATGAAAGAAGGAGGCTATTTATAGGTTGCACAATGACGGTTCAAAACTGGCAGTGGCTGACATCGACTGACACACATTTAATGCTATGGTAACTGAACCGACGGAACATTTATCACGTACGTCATGGTCGGGCCCGATGCGGACGTCAGTGTATATCTAGTCATATCGTTGGAAAGTCATATCATTTCTCGCGATATTATTTCCGAGAAACGAGGGGACTATTTGTATACGGTCAAATTCGAATTTGCCCTTCGTGTAAATTGGTCAAGATTGGAATATGATAAACCGAGAGTCGTCATTGTAACATCAGGATAAGAAGCAAAGTCGGGTTATCGAGCTCAAGGTTCAGGGACCCATCAATATCGAGCTCGAGTCAATATCGAGCTGTGATATGAAGCAATGTTATCGAGCTCAAAAGCGAGGGCTCAAGAGACAGATCAGTACCGAGCCTAGTCAGTATCGAGCTCGAATCAATATCGAGCTCGAGATCCAGATATCGACCGATACCAAGACCGACCAAGATCGAGCTTATGGACAAAGAGTCATTGCAGCCGCACTTAGGGAGATAATCTCGGCGGAAATTAAGGAAAAACTAATTAATTAATCTATCATGGGATCTCCACTATGTATTTTTAATAATATTCAAAGTAGGTTCTTCCACTATGTAAAGAAGTGGCTATTATTTCTGTGAAAGAGGGGATTAACATCTAGAGAAGAAACATTGATACATTCACAAGATTATTACATTGATATAGTTGAGATTATCCTTTTTTGAGTTGGGACATTGATTCATCTTGCTTGTTTATAAATCATTCTCTATTCAATTTGGTTTGTATTTCATTCCTTTATACAGTCAATATTCGATATATTTCTACTTACTTTTCCGTTTTGTACCAAGATATACCACATATCCTTAGAACTACGTATAAATTCAACTCTATCCGTTTTTTCGGGTAAACAAACATCATTCAGACTTGCTAAGTGAGAAGCTTGCTAAAGCAAGAAGGTAGTAGATAGATAAGAGGTGATTTATGTAATAGAATAATCACATTAAGACAAATCAGAAGCCATGAAAAGTGAACACGTATAAAAATTCATTACTTGCAAAAATATAAAAGGATTTCCCTTTTTTCATCTTTTGTTTGCTAGAAATAAAAAAAATGGTACAGCGAAAACGAAGCACTTTTTATTTTATTCAGTAGTCTAATATCTCTGTCATTACATAATTAGAAGAAAAATGTATAGCCTAATTATGGTTGTGAAGTAACCATAATTAGCCGTATTAAACCCTTGAAGATCTTTTTTCTTTTCTTCCATAACCCTAGAAGATCCAGTTATTAACATTTTAACTGCTTTACCTTTGCGTCAGGCTAACATCAACATATCTCTCCCTGATTTTAATGTAGAACTAATAAGTCTTTAATCTTTGAAAAATTTCTACCTAAACCTTTTGATGTGTATGTTTATTAGTTACCTATTTTTTTTATTTATTTTTGGGTTTGTTAAAGTTCTTTGATTGAACACATTGTCGCGTCCATTCTTCTAGTTACACTGTTTAATTTTGACTTATATGATCTACATCACCTAAGACCTATTTTTTATTACATAATTCTAAATTTTACTTAGTCACGGAAGTTCGTCTTTCTACGTACAATTATTTTAATATTAAAGACTTAAAGTATGTTCTACTTTACCAAGGAACAAATAAGAACACTTTCCTTGAAAGAATAATCAAAGAATATCTAATAATACGTATTGGAGGACATTTCAAAGGAAAAAATTGCCTCATATTTTCTTGTTAATACCATTATCTTTTCTTAATCTTCCTTTTTAAAATTAAAGAATTGGGAATTCTATCCACTCAACTCTGGATCGGGGTTAGGATTTATGGAATTTTATCCATATATACTTGCTCCAGTAACTAAAATCATGTTCAATTAGTTCTTTCCAGATTTAATCATGTTCAATTAATATATGATAATTACAGACCTTAGACAATAATTTCAGTCCCTTGTTGAACCCAAAAAGAAAATTATATTTGAGTTCTCATAAAATAATTTTCAAAAACAAACTTGAAGTGGGTCGACCTAAATAGCTAGAAGAAATAATATCCGATACTCCTTAATAAGAATCCTTTTTTCCTAATCATATGTAAAAGTATGCTCAAGGTGAATACATATATTAATGAATATTTAGAAAATACTGAAGGGAAATTCTTCTTTTAAGAAAGTTAAGACCATTATAAAATCTTTAAAATTCCATTTTTATGATAGTGATAATTTTGGAAAAAAAATGAATTAATCACCCATCTTCCTCCTAAAATAGGATGAGGAAAAATTACACCAACTTTAATAAACCTACGATGACATTTCTGTTGTGATTCAACCGTTTTTGGTTACTATTAAGAACCTAATCTTAGAGGTACGAAAAATGAAACTCAAATCTTGTACTTTGCTAGGTAAGAACGTGCTACTTAATCTTGTACTTGCCAATTGTCCAGCAATTGAAAGCAACACTATTAAGGAATGGAGAACACATTTTGACACTTAACTTTTTTAAGTAAGTTTACTCGATGCAAATTTAAAAAATTATTAGATCAGTAGATTTCAAAAAAAAAAGAAGCTTCAATTATAGAACTCTAGAATACTACTATTAGGTTCTATGTTGAGGTCAATGCTGACTTAATTTCCAGACAAACTACAATTTGGTAACACTACGGAAAAGAGAAAACGTTGCCCAAAAAGAAAAATGGCTCTAGTTAATTAATTGTATGTTAACATTGGACATTAATTAACTAATCCACCAAGGGATGAAAACTTCAAACGACTACAATAAAGTTAACTAGACTTGGGAAGCCCTAAGAAGACTTGCCAAATACTAGTAATCTTAGAAATTTTGATACACAAAGAAGCTTCTACTAAGAAAAATTCAACACAAGTTCCTCTATAAATTTACCCCTCATTAGACACAAAGTACATATTCACTGCTTCACATTCTCCCAAAACACATACACACACAAAAATATCTTTAGTTTAGAGAAGATGGCTTTCTCCTATTTTAGAGCTTATGTACTTGTTCTTTTGGTTTTGCTACCAATGTTAGCTGCAGAAGAGGATAGTATTCCCCCTGTTCTTGCTCCCTACTTTGGTATACATCTCTCTTCTTCCAGCTTAATTCCTTATTTCTCTTCTCATATTTTATGTTGACCTTTTAAAAAATGAAGACAAGATATATTTCAGAATTCTAGAGCAGTTCTAATTTTATTATATGCTAGTACGTACTTGCATTAAACTTATTCAGGGCGAAAAAATCAAACATACACAAAAGGCACACACGCTAGTCCATCCTTTCTTCATTCCCAAATCTCGTAGTTCACCTTTAAAATTTTAAAAAATTTCAAGAGTTTAACTTCAAGACATTGATCAGGGCCACCAAATCAACGTATCTTGAAATGAAACATCTTTAATGTTTTTGAGTCCAGTTTCTAATTGTAAATTAAACTTCCGAATTGGATGTTATATATGTATAGAGAAAATATGCAAAGATGTGGAGTGTGGGAAAGGGAGTTGCGAGGCAGCAGCAGGGAAGCCTTTCAATTTTGTATGCAAATGTGAAAAAGGTTGGAAGAGAACTCGACATGATGATGACGACGACGAAGATGATCTTCAATTCCTTCCTTGCATTGTTCCCAAGTGTCAGTAATTTCCTTTCATTTTTTTACTTTTTCGTAATTTCTGCCTAATTATATTTATCACCTAACAATCTTTTACATTTTCTTTTTATTTAGTAAATTCGTTACTTAACTTCTTTAAAAAATAGAGATTATATGGACCCCTGAAATGATAAAGCACCTTACATTCCTGGGTTATTGTTTAACACTTGGACAATTTAGCTGATATAGATAAGTTAAGTATTTCCTGCAATTGTTGATTAAGATTCCAGGGTTATTGTTTAACACTTACATTGTTGCTTGTTTATATAACTAAGAGTTGGAGATTATACATTTATAATATTGCTGGGGTATGTTTATTGCAGGTTCTCTTGACTATTCTTGCTTGCCAGCACCTCCACCAGCTCCACCAATTCCACACAACATGTCTTTCTTTGATCGTAATTTACTAAATTATTATAAGCTTCTATTTATTTCTTTAACCATTTTCATATATGTTCTATCAAATATCTTATTAAAGCCCATATTTTGTTTTGACCTTTGTTTGGTTGAAGCTTGCTATTGGATTTACTGTGGGGAGGGAACATGCAAAAAGAATATAACACATGGACAAACATGCCAGTGCAATTCTGGTTTTTCCAATCTCCTTAATATACCTGCTTTCCCTTGCTTCAATGATTGTAAGTACAAACAACTATTTCCCAAGAGTAATTAAATGTTTTAGTTTCACATAAATAATACCATTAGCTAATCCTTATTGAAATTGAAGGTGCCATTGGAGCTGATTGCGAAAAGCTGGGAATTCGGCTTTCAAATTCCACTGCATCATCTCCATCTTCTTCAAACATTGATGACAATAATGGAGGTAAGAGTTACCACCAGCAATGATTTGGAATCAATTTAAAGACTAGAAACTATTTTTGGTCGATCATAATGCGATATTGAGAGAAAATATGTGCTAGAGAGACATAAAACAAGTAAAGATATGACATAAATCCATCAGGTAGTTACATATAACCCTTGTATAGGTTTCATCGAAACAAAAACAACTATTGGCTGTGTGATTTTAAACGTCAACTCAAACAAAGCAAACTTCTTGATATATCAATAATTTCATATTCTCTGCAACTTTCTTCCTCCTATATTGAATTCAAGATGCATATAAAATCTACATATTGGATAGCATCACATTACTACTTATTCTAACCAGAGTATAAGATCATCTCACCATTCTAATTCTTCCATATTGGCAGCTACATCATTTATGCCCAGGAGTTCCCACTGGATAGCTATCTTTCTGGCTTCAGCAGCTATGGCTTTACTCAACTAGGAAGAGGGGCTGGCTTTTTATTTCGTCATGAGAGATATTACCACATTTTATCAGGCTTACTGCTTGATGCTTCGTCTATATTAGCGCATTGTACTTCATTCATTTGTCAGATTCACATGTACTAGGATTAATAAAACATGTGTGATGTGTGTCATTTCTGTACAGAGTATATTTTGAATATTATTTCAGTTATGGGATTTTACTGTCGATGATGACATGGCATAATTGATCGTACTTGTTCTTGTTTCCATCAATCTAATGCATTTGGACAGCAGCAGAAATAGGTGATTTTCCTAACTAATCACAAGAACACACTTGAATACACATATAGACACATATAGGATGTAGCCCTCCCTCTCAGAAGAAAAAAAGAGGAGGACCCCTTTTCCCATCTTAATCAGGTGTACTTTTCAAACACACATCGTGAGGATAGTGGCAGGACTCATAAGCCTTGTGATCCTCAACTTGATACATAATACTGAAATCGGTAGAGAGATAAAATGTCCCACATAGGCTGTGTATAGGTTTCAAAGCAGTTTATAATGGTTATGGACCATTCTATCCATGGCATTCAAGTTTGTCAGTTGGATGACAAACGTAGATAAGCTCGTTCTTTCACGTGCAAACATGTCTCACTCTCTACTTATAGCTCAAGTGTACACTCTTCTGCCTACTTCGTCACTGCTAGTTCTCTCAATTCAGCCTATCAAGTCACTAATAGTTCTAAACATACTCCTGAAGCCAACTCTCTCACTATAACTGCTCGTTGCTAACCTTGTGAAGCAGTGATCTGTCATACAAAATAACCTTGTGCAACAAGAGACTACAGTTGCTAAGTATATTAGCATACTTGAAGCTTTCTTATTACAAAAGATTATTTCCCTCAAGCATACACAAACAGGTACCTATCTCACAGTACACTGAAACAAGATAAATTTGTATAGAATATGACATGAAAAGCCACATTGGTTTCACCTCTAAACTCTTCAGCTGGACAATTTCAAGCACTAGACATTACATCTACGATCAAGTCATTTCAAGCTTTCATGTAGCCTCTGAGTCCAGCTCAACTCAGCATTCAGCATTTCAAAGAGTTCTCTAAAATAAAAGACACAATTGGATAGAAAATATAAATTCTCCTACTATCACATTGTTGCCGATATAGCCTAGTACATTTATCTCTATAACGATGGACTTCTATAAGCAAAACCTGAATTTTCCAAATCACAAAATAGCCAATATCCATATTCTCAGCAACAAAAAGGAAATCAACCAAAACATTTCCTTTTCAATTCTAATTTACAAATTACATAAGGATGGGAGTATTATTACTAAACATCTCCACACAAAAAGGCCGAAACTTATTGGTGTTACAACATTAACCAACCCCTATTGAAGTCTAAAAATTCCACAAGAATTACATCTCAAAAAACACAAGTTAAAGTTCTTCAAACCTCAGCAATTGAGAGTTTCACTTGCTCTGAACACTGACTCCTTCCTTGCCAGCTATAATAACAGCAGTGGTCATATCCAAGAACAACCCGTGCTCCACCACTCCTTCCAAAGCCGCAATCTCCTTTCCAGCAGCAGCAGAATCCTTAATAGGAGTCTTAAAATACAAATCCACAATATAATTCGAATTATCAGTAACATAAGGCTTCCCATTACCATCCACTCTCAACTTAGCATCAACACCCTCTGCTTTAAACAACTCCTGTAACCTAACCAAATTATACTTCCAACAAAACTGCACCACCTCAACGGGCATAGCCAACCCGGACCCACCTAAACCGGAAACGAGCTTCGAATCATCCACAACCACGACGAACTTATCGGAAGCCGCCTCCACCATCTTCTCCCTTAAAAGGGCCCCACCTCGACCCTTGACTAAGTCGAGATTGGGGTCAACCTCGTCAGCACCATCGATGGCTAAGTCGAGATGCGGGTGGTCGTCAAGGGTAGATAGCGGGATGTTGAGTGATAAGGCTTGTTCTTCAGTGCGCTTAGAAGTGGGGACACCTACAATGTTTGTGAGTTGTCCAGATGAAAGAAGCTCGCCTAACTTGGAAACAACGAAGGCTGCGGTTGAACCAGTGCCTAGACCAAGGACCATTCCGCTTTTCACGTATTCGACGGCTTTATCGGCGGCGAGTTTTTTGAGTTCGTCTTGGGTTAAAGCTGAAGGGACCGAAAGGGCCTTGATTGAAGGGGTGGTGGAGCGAATGCGAGTGATGGGGTTGCGGAGGAAGATGGAAGGAAGGCGGGTGCCGATGATGGCATTGTAGCGGAGAGTAGAAGAAGGAGAGTGAGGTGAGATTAGGGATAATGAAGCCATGGGTGAGTGAAGGTGGACTGTGAAGTTTGGTTTTTTGGTCTCGCCTCACCTATGTGATCTATTCTTTGTTTNTTTGATAATCCCCCCCCCCCCCCCCAAAAAAATGTGGGGTGGGGTGGGGGACTTGAGGATGGGATGTGTGGGAGCGGGCGAATGCCTAAATGGTTGGTGATGATGAAGATGAAAGGATATCCTAAATTTGATAGACTTTATAAAATAAAGATTATAAACTAAATAAACGGAAGAAAAATATAGAGGTAGATTAATATTTTATTTTAACTTCAAATTTATGTATATAATAAACTGAAAACTACTTTATTTATAGAAGAAAGGAAGCAGTTGCAGTCTTTTCAGGAAGCAGCTGCAGTCTTTTCAGGAAGCAGCTGCGAAACTTTTCTTGAGCTGCTTGTAAGTTGTCTACATGAGCTGCTCGCAACCTGATTGTTTAATAAAAAGCTGCTACAAATTATTTCATTGAGTTGTTTGCAATCTGTCTGCATCAACTGTTTGTAGATAGCTTCAATAGAGTACTAAACGGATAATCTTCTTCAGGAAGATTATCTATAGCACAGTAATAAATGGACATCCATAATATAATATTTTCATAACACTCCTCCTTGGATTTTCATTAAAAGATAATGTGCCTCACTAAAATCTTACTAGAAAAAACTCCGTGGGAAAAAATTCTAGTGAAGGAAAAAGAGTATACATATCTAGTAATACGCATTGCTAGCTGCCTCATTAAAAATCTTATAAGGAAACCCATGTGGGAAAAACCTTAGTAAGAAAAAAAGAGTACATCGCGTATTTTACTCCCCTGATGAAAACTTTGTTTCAAATATTTGAGTCTTCGCATTCCAATCTTGTATACTATCTTCTTAAAAGTTGAAGTTGGTAAAGAATTAGTGAATAAATCTGCTGGATTGTCACTTGAACGGATTTGCTACACATCGATATTACCATTCTTCTGGAGATCATGTGTGAAGAATAACTTTGATAAAATGTGTTTTGTTCTATCTCCTTTTATGAATCCTCCATTTAATTGGGCTATGCATGCAACATTGTCTTCGTATAATATTGTGGTTTTTTTGTCACATTCCAACCCACATTTTTCTCGAATAAAATGAATCATTGATCTCAACCATACACATTCCCTACTTGCTTCATGAATAGCTGTTATCTCAGCATGATTTGAAGAAGTAGCAACAATATATTATTTTGTGGAGTGCCATGATATGACAGTGCCTCCACATGTAAACACATACCTGATTTGAGATCAAGCTTTATGGGGATCAGATAAATAACCTGCATCTGCATAACCAATACGATCTGCACCACCTTTGTTAGCATTAGCAAGATACATAAGTGCACCTATTGCACTGAGATAGAGTATTTCAGGACCAATGAGTTCCTCATCCTCTTTAGAGGTCGGAACGGATCCTTATTCACTTTGAGTGATCGAACACCCATTCGTGTACTTAATGAGTACGTTTTGTCCATGTAAAGGTGTTTAAAGACACTTTTTGTATAGGCATATTGATGGATAAAGATCTCGTATGCTAAATATTCAATTTGCAGACCAAGACAAAATTTTATTTTTCCAAGATCTTTCATCTCAAATTCTTTCTTAAGATATTCAAGTGCGTTTTGGAGCTCTTCTGGAGTTCCAACAAGATTTATGTCATCAACATAAACATCAAGTATAACAAATTATGATGACATTTTCTTTATAAAAATACACGGGCAAATAACATCATTTATGTAATCTTCTTTCAACAAATATTCACTGAGGCGATTATATCACATGCGCCCAGATTGATTTAAATCGTACAAAGATCTTTGTAATTTGATCGAGTACATTTCTCGAGACTTTGAATTATATGCTTTGAGCATTTTAAATCCTTCAGGGATCTTCATATTGATTTAATCAAATGAGTCCTATAGGTCATGGCTTGCATTTAAATAGCATGACATCTTCAGGTGTCTGGACTACAGGTCTGATCCTCACAATATTTTACAATACCGTGCACTATATTGTATTAAATATATTGTCGACGATCATTTTGTATCAGTTCGCAAGCGACATAACTTGTTGAGATCTTATCACTTTCTTTATTTTCAGGTACCTGAACTTTTTCTAGAGTTTCATAAAATATTATGTCGTGGTCTCTTCTAGAGCTTATTTCCTCCTTATTATGATCATTTTGTTCATTTGCTCCTATCCTTTTCAAAGATTATTACCTTTGGAACCGATTGGTCTATCACGCTTCATGCGTATAGTAAATCTATCCTTCAGGGACTTTAATTTTAATAGGAGTATTTACAGCTAAATATGATATTTTGTTTTGGATCAACAAATGCTTCTGACATTTGACTTGAATTATCTTCTGAATGAGGATCACACTAATGATAATTCGATTCATATAACATATATTTCAACTGCTTATTCCATCCCCCTAATGTTAGAAAAACTAACATATATCCCAAATCTTCTTTGAAAAATCTATCTTTGTACTTTGTGGTAGAGAAATTAATCATATACCACGCATCAAAAGTTATTAGATAGTAAAAATATTTGGTTTCTGATCCTAAACCAATTGTGAGGGTCATAAATTATTGGTCTGATGCATACAAGTGCTGTTGTATGCAATTTAGAAAATCTTAGACCAATATATGAAGCTTTTGTCTCATAAACAATAGTTTAGGCATTAATAAGAAGTATTCAATGCTAAACCATCTTAGATATAAACCAGTTTTATCAAGATGAACTGCCTTGATTTCATAATCTGAAAATTATTCTTTTATACGAGAAAAGCAATTTCAAATGCCAAACTGCAGGTTGATAATAATTACACATGTAACCATCTCATATATGCATCT